TTAAGAAGCGGCCTCGGCTGCCCGCCATTTTCTGCGCTCACTGCGGCCCGACGGCTCCCCCAGGCCCAGGCCAGCCCCGCCGGCCGTGGTGCCCAGGGTGGCCTGCTCACGGCCTGGGGGGCCGCTCACGGCCGCGGCTGCTCCTGTGGGCTCTCCTCCCCACCACCCCCAGTGAAACTGCCGCTGCAGCATCGCCGTTCAGCTGGGCCGAGCCATCAGGGTGGCTCCGGGGGACGAGCATTATTTATGGGGCCGCCAGCCTTGGGCTGTGGTCGGAGCACAGCACGGGGATGTTCCGTCCGGGTGATCAGCCGCCGCGGTGGAGGGGGTGACACCCAGAGAGCCTATGACCCCCCAGGACCGCTACCGCTGCACGGGCACCACCCACAGACAAACAATTGTTAGATCTCTGAATAACTCAATCTGCTGAAGAGTTATTTTGAAGAGGAAAGGGAGACAGAATCACACGTGGCAATTGCAGTTGCACCAGGTTTTTTTTAAGGACCAGGAAATCAAAAAGCAAACAGCAAAGGGTGTATGATCCCAGATTAATGTAAAGAAATTGCAGAAGCACGTAAGGTACAATCTAAAGACCATGGCGTGACTGAGTTACAAGTAGCAAGGGACATCAAGGGCAACAAGAAAAGGATTTGGTGTGCTGTTTAGAAGTACTGGAAGGAAGGGGGAGACAGGGGAAAATAAAGATCCATAACTTAATGGAGAAAGGGAGGAAACAATCAAGGATACAGAGAAACCTGCATTGCTCCAGCCTTCGTATTAAAAGGTTGTTTGTGAGCAGGGATTTAACAACATTAATAAAGGGAGAAGGAGAGCAGGACAACAGGGAGGAGAGCCAGGGGAAAGGAGGGCACCAGGTTTGGAGGAGGGTGACCACAGCACCCGTTTTTAGAAGACGGAGGTGAATTGTCCCCAGGGCCATGCTGCTGTCCTGCCCTGGCGTCCACTCCCACGGTAATGCTGAACACGGCACCAGCCCATCACCACTCATGCCCCAGGGGATGGTATGGCAATAAGAAAAGGTCTGTGAGGATGACACCAGCACAGCGGGAGCCCTTCCTCTGACGGGGGAGCAGTACATGCCATGTGCCTTGATCCCACCAAGGCTCTCGACACGCCTCCACGTGAGGCCCTCGTCAGCAAACTAACGAACCGTGCCCCACACGGGAACACCAGGTGATGGCTCAGCTGCACCCCAGAAGCGGTGGGCGACAGGACACGCCGATGGAGAGTGGCCGTGCCGGAGGAGGGCAATTCCACCGGGGCTGGCCTGGTCTAGCCTGTGTTTCCCTGAGAACCTGGAGCAGAGCATGGGGTCACCGAAACCGCAGGCAGCATCGAGCTGGGAGCTGGGAGGGGCCCGAAGTGCTGGGCAGGACGAGCTCCAGGCTCAAAATCATCTTGACAAGTTAAAGATGTCATCCAAAACCAACAAGCTGAGATTCAATAGAGAGAAGTGCAAGGAGGTGCTCTGCGGGAGGACTGGGAAATGTGCAGGGATGAGCAGCTGTGGCGGAGCAGGGCTGCAGAGGGTCATGGTCTCCACCTCCAGGAGCAACCGCAGCGGCTGCTGCAGGAGGCAAGTGCCACCTCGCACCCCCGGCGTGGCAGCTGCTGGTCTGCTGAGCATGGGCGGAGCCCTGGCTGCAGCCAGTGCCCAGTTTGGGACCCTGCGCTTCATCGGGGACAGGAGCAATTGGAGGGGATCCAGGAGGGAGCGAGAAGAATGAGAAGAAGCCCAAGAACTTGGCCTGTAAGGAAAGGAGAGGGGAAGAACTTCTGGAGTCCACAAAAGCTGGCCAAGAGGAAACATGGCAACGGACTGCTGCTGCGTGTGGGATGCTGTATGTCGAGAAATCAAGAAATCAGCTTAGATGGCAGCAAGGAAATCTCCTATTTTGGTCACAGATCGCACCCTTCTGGTGGCAGAACCTCTCTCGCTGGGGGCTGAAGACTGCATTAGATGAAGGGGACCTCTGGGGGTTCCCTGCCCCCGGCGCTGCTCCAGCAGTGTCACCCAGAGTCAGCGGCCCCAGGCCATGGCCGGGCTGTGGGTGCCTCCAGGGATGGAGACCCCCCCACTGCCCCAGGCTGGCACCGTCCACAAGCAGGGTGCAGCCACCTTGCCCAGTGGGGACATCCCACCCGCTGTCCTCCAGGAAGGGTGGGAGGCACCGGCCTCCACTGAGGGACACGGATTGGCTGAGCTTCACTTCTACCACCCCTGATTGGCTGAGACCTCTGCAGGCACCTGGTGTTCCTCAACTGCAATAGGCTGTGGGTGCTCCTGGCCCAGCACACTGATTGGCTGAGGCAGCTGCAGCCGCGTTTCTCCACACTCTGATTGGCTGAGGCAGCTGCAGCCGCGTTTCTCCACACTCTGATTGGCTGAGGCATCATGTCTGCACATTCTGATTGGCTGAGGTGGCTGCAGCCCCCATGTCTCCCCATCCGGATTGGCTGAGGTGGCTGCGGGGCTGCTCCCCAACAGGCGGGTGGGCAGGGGCTGCTCCCCACCTCTGAGCCCGGTCCTGCTGCATGCGCTCGGGCTGCCCCGCTCCAATGCCTGGCGCTCCCCACATGCCCCACGTCCCACTGGTGTGCTGGGCGTGCTCTGGGGGCACGCGACAGCCAGGGCGTCCATGGGAATTTAGAAGAGCGAATCTCCTTCGGCCTCGTTTATGATCCTTTAAGATTTGCAAATATTTGCGCCGGCAAAGTCGGTCCTTAGCGAAGCTCGCAGGGTGAGGCAGGATTGCAAACACGAGGAGAGAAATGTTGGTTTAGGTGAACGCTCACGTCTGCCAGGTCAGGTCTCTGGAGTGCTCTGACCTGGGCTGGCCAGACAGCAGCAGCAGTAACATGACAGGGGTTGCTCGGCCAGCCCTCCAACATGCGTGGTGGATGTAGGAAGCCGTAAGCACAGGCACTGACAGCTTAAACGGATCAGTGAGATCAATTTTCACCCCAGAATACAAAAAACCACTGGAAACGAGATGTGCGTCTGCCAGACAAAAGACTGCGTTTTTAGACAAACTCTTTGCTGTGATTAGTCTGTCCAGCTCCACCTGCTTCCATGGAGATGAGAATCTCCATCTCCTGATGCACCAGCCAAATCCCAGCTGCCTTCATGTACACCTTCTTCCATGAGGAGACCCTCATCCTCCTCGTGACGGGAGCCAGAGCTCCTGTCCCCCGTCCACAGCTGTAAGACACTTTGCAGTTGCCAACCCTTCCCCTTACCGTGCCACGTTATGACCCCCGTCCCTCCCTTCGGAGACCTGCCACCTTCTGCCACCACGGCCCCATCCTGCCTCCCCACCGCGGTAGACCTTGGCCTCTCCCTCCACCACTGCCTGTGGCCTCCCTGGGGGGAGTAAAGAGCATCCCCCCACCACAAGACCCTCAGATTTCTGGAACATCCCTAATTCCACTCATCCCTTTCTATTTTGGGGAGAGGGGAGCCTTGCCATCGGCTGGTATAACGTAACCCCTGCAAGGTTTCTGGGGCACAGCTCATCTTTCCCATACACCTACCGTCACCATGAAGGAGAGCAATGCCTGCCAGCCGACTGGGAAAGAGGCGTCCCATCACCCATTCCTATGGACACGACTCCTCCAGGCAGTGCGTAACCCCCCTGAGCATCCCTCTATGGGGTGATAAGCCCCCAAAATCAAGGGATATTCATCTCCAGGATAAAATAACCCCTGGGGTTGGGGGTCCTGGGTGGCCACTGCAGAGGAGGAGATGCTGTGCGGGGAGGGTGCAGGCGCGGGGTCGGGCTGGCCGCGACCGGTGGTGGTCGCGGCCAGCC